ACAGTATTTTTCTCTTTTAATCCTACGTGTGATGGGCAGATATCACTAAAGAACCGAAAATCATGATTGGTGTTGGCACCAATCGATTAACAGGGTTTTCGCGGTTTCTACCTTTTATCGGTAAGTGAAGAAAAAACAGTGTCTTTTTAAGACCTCTTTAAACCTGAGTAAAAATGCTTGGTAATCTTCTTTGTGTCGGCTTCGTTTTCGTGCGCCACATCGGCGAGTATAATTTCCTGGATAATATAATACCGCCCAATGGCGGTTTCCATGAGTCCGGCCGCAGATGGTGACTAATAAAACAGAATACTATTGTGTTCATGCTGTGCATGTTTTGTTAAGATAACATTAAGCGATGGTGGATTAGTCGAATGCAAATCAAGAAATTCTGGATTGCCAAGAGATAAGCTAACGAGTTGATACCAGAAAAGCATTAGCAGTGCATACGGTGAAAGACACGAAACAAGCACTGATAACCGACCTCAACACAAGCCAGGCACGGAGATTTTGATTTAAGGTAACATAAATTTAAAAGCGTGACAATTCCTCTCAAGAAACGCTCGTTTTCCCAATTAAAGTTGAAGCTCATATTTTCAAAATTACTCAGTAATAATTTGCAAACTCAAAGGTTTTGTGACTAGCTATTTTTAACCGAAAGAATCGTAATTTCAATTCACGGGTTACGGTTTTTAATTTTTACCAATTGATTAACCTCTTGCCGTTGTTAATTTAGGAAATAAATTGAAGGTGATAAGCAAACACTGGAATCAAGATTCGTTCTCGGATTGAGTTTTCAGGTGTTAAGATTTTATTTTTTTTTACTTGTTATCTCGATATCATCCTCGCTTGCGTTCCGCTGCGGAAAATTTAAGTTAACTTGGTACAGTGGAACCCTGTTTTAACCCGGTCACAAATCTTATCGTATTAAAAGGGTTCTTCAAATAAGAAAATTACAGACTGAGCATTTTTTCTTCGGGCCAGAATAACGTGGCTGTAATAACGAGGAAGCCGTGTGAACGAGGTGGCCGTAAGGCGGGGTCTCACTCTATTCGGATCTCCCTATGAACATCATCCTAAAAAACTGACCAACTGACTAGTTAGATAAAAATTCATCCTTACACACGAGGCCTCAAGGGATGGAGGGAGCCGGGTAAAACTACATGTATTTAAGAAATTTGAATATTCGCTTAGCTTAAAGAAGGTTGAACAGAACGCGACGATTTTTTTGAGAGTCGAAAGCTCATGCTAATCTCCACAAAAAACGTGTTCATTCAAATTTCACGAAAGCAGACGAGAGAAGCGAATAAAGAAAATCGTCGACAAGGGTAGATTGCATCGATGCAACACCAAATTCTCACAATTCTCATTAAAAGAAATGTACGAAAATCAGTAATGAGAATTGATCTTAATCGTGGATCCTTAAACGTATTATTCATATTTTCCGGACGAAAAACCTCTTTTGTATTCTCAGCGACACTTGTCTAAGCCGCCATTGTTTTAGCTTTATGCTGCCTGCAATTACAGAAATGTATGTTTGTTGACATGGCTTTATTTACGTGAAGCAAAGGAGCTCAGTATCAGTTTATTATTGTCTATTTCGTTGGCAAACGACCTCGACTGTACTGCATGCGACATCATCCAGTTATTCAAACCATATCGAGACAACAGCGGTAAGTTACGCGCAAGCGAGTGGATACCAAATTTCGTAGTAAATAACTCAAATGCTTCCTTAGCTCCAATCACTTAGCGGAAATTTCATGCTAGCTCATATCATATAAAGTATGGAAACGAGTTGAATTATGTTGTTTTAGTCCCACAGGGACGAGAAAAAGTTGGTTAGGCCTTAAATAGTTGCGAGCAAGATTTCGAGTTACCTGTTAGACTGTTAGATTGAGACGCAATTTTCTGTTGTCTCTAATTCCCATCCACACCATCTTTACACCTTCGATATATTACAATAAGGCATTCAACAATGCTGTCAAGTTAAATGCTTCATATTTGACGTAGATTTATTGCTATTTAGAAGAAGTGTTAACTACAGTTTGTTCGAAACAACCAAAAACAATTTAAAACAAGCAAGCAAGCAAAGATCAAGAAAAATCCGTCACTGTTTGCTATTTTAATTTAGCCTAAATAAAACAGTCTAAAGGTAGACCTCATTACCGCGCAAAGAGTCAGAGTGGTTTGAAAGTCGTAAGAAATCCTTGTAATAAAGAAGCTGTGTGCTTCGTTCATGGCGCTGTAAAGTTAGCTAGTACACTGCTGCTTCACAACGAATGAGGCCTCAATGGGACTACCAGCTTTAACGCTTCAAAGCGATGCCTCAGTGTGTCAGATCTTTTAATAGGTTTTATCTTTGGTAGTTTGTAGTGCTGGATATGTAATTAGTTAAGATCTCGTATCGGTGTAAACGGTAATTTGCAAGTGTTAAGCTGTAAATGGCTAAGTCTTTATGTTGATTAGGCATGTTGTCTTTGGTGGTCAGGCCAATGAAATACACTTTAACCTTCCTTCTAGATCTTTCAGGTTTCACTTGCACGAAAATTCGTCTGAGAAGGAGATGTTCAACAACACAAACGGAACAGAACGTCAAGGACTTTCTCCAGTCAACACTATCAGCACCAACACTCAAGCAATAGCTGAACTAGTTCCTGTTGCATTACTGATCATCCTTGCCAATGGGTTGGTGTTGGTTTTATTCTCGAAAAGAACACAACTCCGTACACCAGCAAATTACGTGCTTTTCAGTTTGGCAGCTTGTGACTTCATCACCGGAGTCATCAATATTCCCTTGTTCATCGTAACTGCATTCACACCGGCCATCACTTCGTTCAAGGTTCGATATTATATGACTGTTCTGGTGAGCGTGCTAAACAATTTTACAGCCATATTAGCTTGCTATCACATACTCGCTGCCACTACAGAGAAATATCTGTCGATAATCTGGCCAGTAACGCATCGCTCGATGACGAGAAAAACCGTTTTTAAAGTGCTTCAAGTTGTTTGGGTAGTGTCTTTCATTGTGGCTTTCATTCCCTTTGCCTGGGTCAACATAGAGGATAAAGAAACGCAAGAGAAATTAACACTAGGCCATGTCATATTCTGTCTCGTGGCAGTCTTCCTGTTGCCGTATGCATTCATGATCTATGCTTTTGTGGTTATTTTCAAATCTATTGCCAAAAGGGGCAAAGCGAAAGAAAACACTTCCTCACGGACCTCGCAGCTCAGTCGACAAGCCGCTCTCGAAAAAAGATGCTTGATTTTGTTCGCTTCCATGGCAACAGTCTTCCTTGTATGTTGGTTGCCATGGTTTATTTTGATGTTGTTGTTCAAAGTAAAAGACAATGTTAAAGAGCTGGAAATCCCTGCTCACGCGTTTGTCCTCGTTAGGTATACTACCTCTATCATAAATCCTGTTCTGTATACTTTCTTTAGGCGTGATTTTAAAACAACTCTAAAATCCTTGTTTCAAAACAAGAGATCACGATACTTTTCTTCGTCATTGTTTTTAGAGGACAGTAAAGTCAATGAACCAAGGGTAAAACTGACTGAAAAAATGGCTGAAGATGTTGTCTAGGACCCAAGTTCAGTCAGTGACGATCCTTTCAATTTGAATAATGAAATTGAGTTAAGTTTTAATGGAAAAATGTTTTAATAGAAACAGTTCTTTCAAGTCTAAAGTAAATGTATGATGTACCGTGTCTGTTTGTTGATGAATTACGTGTGTTTATAAAAAATTGTAAGTAACTTCAAATCAATGAAAATTAATAAACTAAAAAAAAAATTTAAGGTCCTGCGGGGACTCCCACTAGAACTCCCACTGTATCAAAAGGACAAGGTCGGGGGTGCTCGTCGAAAATTTTGAAAAGATAATCTCTGCTATGTTGCGCTACGTTGTGCTGTTCTCTGCTACTAGTTTTTAGGTTGGGTTATAGAGTGCCATTGTGTGTCATGCTGAAATAATTTCTTCTATTCTCTGCTATGTTGCACTACGTTGGGCTGATTCTGCTACTAGTTTTTGGGTTGGGTTATAGAGTGCCATTGTGTGTCATGCTGAAATAATTTCTTCTATTCTCTGCTGTGTTGCGCTACGTTGGGCTGATTCTGCTACTGGGTTTTGGGTCGGGTTATAGAGTGCCATTGTCTGTCATGCTGAAATAATTTCTTCTATTCTCTGCTATGTTGCGCTACGTTGGGCTGATTCTGCTGCTAGTTTTTGGGTTGGGTTATAGAGTGTTATGGTGTTTCATACTGAAATATTTTGTTCTATTCTCTGCTATGTTGCGCTAAGTTGTGCTGATTTGTATCAATAGTTTTTAGGTTGGGTTAAAGAATGCCATAGTGTTTCACGGTGAATTATTCTGTTCTATTCTCTGCTATGCTGCGCTACGTAAGGCTGTTTTCTGCCACTAGCTTTTAGGTTGGGTTATATAGTGCCATGGTGTGTCATAGTAAAATATTTTGCCATTTTCTCTGCTATATTGGGTTACGTTGTGCTGTTTTCTGCTACTAGTTTTTAGGTTGGGTTACAGAGTGCTATGTTGTGTCATGCTGTAATATTTTCTCATTTTCTCTGCTATGTTGCGCTGCGTTGTGCTGTTTTGTACTAACACTTTTTAGGTTGGGTTTTAGAGTGCCATGGTGTGCCATGCTATTTTACGGCCAGCACGCTCGAAACCAAGCGTGCAATTATTTTTACCCTGTCGATTTCACTGAAAAGCAAGGTCATCACCAGATAGTTTAGAGTCCTCGGAACTGGGAAATATCGCCCAATTTCTTGGAAAGCAAGATTAAGGTGGCCAAAATCAGGCTGCGCTTAGGCCGGTCCCGGCTACTTTTTCAGTGTTTAAATTAAGTGGGGCTATATATCGGCCAGCGAGCTCGAAACCGAGCGTGCAATTATTTTTTCCCCAGTGGATTTTACCAAAAACCAAGGTCATTACAAGTTAGTGTGCTGTTTTCTAGTGATAGTTTTAAGGCTGGGTTATAGAGTTCCATGGTGTGTCATGCTGAAATATTTTGCCCTATTCTCTGCTATATTTTACTACGTTAGGCTGTTTTCTGCCACTAGCTTTTAGGTTGGGCTTAAGAGTGTCATGGTAAGTCGTTCTGTAATATTTTGCCATATTCTCTGCTATAATGCGCTAAGTAGTGTTGTTTTCTGATTCTCAATGTTAGCATAGGTTAAAGTGTACCCTGGTGTCTCATGCTGAAATATTTTGCCATATTCCCTGCTATATTTTACTACGTTAAGCTGTTTTCTGGCACTAGATTTTAGGTTTGGTTTAAGAGTGTCATGGTAAGTCGTGCTGTAAGATTTTGCCATATTCTCTGCTATAGTGCGCTACGTAGTGCTGTTTTCTGATTCTCAATGTGAGGTTAGGT